TGTGTGTGTGTGTGTGCGTGCGTGTGTGTGTGTGTGTGTGTGTATGTGTGTGTGTGTGTGTGTGTGTGTGTGTGTGTGTGTATATAGCTTTCACTTAATCCCTCCATGTTCTAGCTTGTACTACCTGTCTGAATCTTTGTATTACGAACACTTCTTTCTTGTGTTATGTGCCTCATTATGATGAATCGCTTGTTGTATTCCTCGTTTGCTTTGGATAAAAGTGCCTGCTAAATATATGTAAATGTAAATATAAATGTAAGTAGAAAGTAAGTATAAATGTAAGTTTGTCAAACAAATTCACACTGGACAATGGCAACATGAAACCTGAATTTCTTTTAAATCGCACATTTCAGGTAAATTTGACATATATTTAGAACATTTTGTACAAAAAATGAGCACTTAGTTGCTTCCAAAAAAAAAAAAAATAAATAAAATTGCTAGTGTGTTTTTATAAATAAATATTTGATTATCATAAAACACTATACAGTATGTCACATAGCTCATTTTAATTAGACCAATGAAACACTTGAATAAAATAAGGGACACTGTACAGTTGGCTTACCGTTGTTGCAAGATAAACCTAAATAGGGTGAGTGACGTCTTCTTAAAATATAAAAACAGTGCAATAAAAATAGAGAACAGTAAAATATGAGTACAGTTTCATGTACTGTATACACACCCATTTACACTGCGTGTGGGAAAATAGCAGGCAGTTTTTTATAAAACAAAAGACTTGTTTAGCATTCGACTAAAGGTATAATACATTATTATTATTATTATTATTATTATTATTATTATTATTATTATTATTATTATTATTATTATTATTATTATTATTATTATTATTATTATTATTATTATTATTATTATTATTATTATTATTATTATTATTATTATTATTATTACTACCTTAATTAGAATTATGGCAATATTAGGAAGAAAAGGAAGCTTTTCAATTTAAATTAAATTAAATTTATTTGTATAGCACTTTTCATAATGATTATCACTTCCAAACCAGCTTCAGAGACAATTGTCACACACAGTCAAGTTCAAGTAAACAGTTTAAGGTGACATTAGTAAACAAATAAAAACTATGGCAAGACATTTAGAAATAAAATTACAATATATTTTATAAAAATAAAATAAATACATTAAATTAAAATGTATTCATAAAATTCATAAAACTGAATTTGACTTATGAAAATGACTTATGTTGTCAAACCATGTTCAGCAGAGTGCGTTATGTAAGCCATGCTCAACTGAACAACAGTTTGCATAGAGGATCCATAAGGAGGGCATGAGGAGGCACGTCTGTCTACATATTCATGTTTCTTTTTCTAAGTGGCTGGAAACCATGGAGACAGCA